AGCAGGACGGGCTACTTGGCACCAGCGGAGAAAACAGCGCTAGTGATATATATATATATATCTACCTGGATCTTCCACGTATGCAAAATGTCTGCCTTTGGCTGGTTTTATAATTTTATAGATGAAAAGGCTGAAACTTGTCACAGTTGGAAGATCCAGGTATATATGACCAGACCCAGTGAAATGAGGTCCTTGTCCTTGACCTTCTGGGTCGGGCTCGGTTCTTTTTCTTGTTTCTCCCTTCTTCCCAGACCAGTTCCGGACCAGTGCATGGCGACCAGCCTCCAAACGGAGCATCCATCCCTTTCCCGACCCGCGCGCGGCTCGCGCCGAGGAATACCTTTTGAAGGTTGGCGCCAACGTCCCTCGCGACGATGGGGTGGATCCGCGGATCGACGAGGGGTCCAGAGCCGTTGACCGTCCAGACGAGCGGGGCCGGGCTGACGGGTGCGGCAGCACCGGTGGTCCGGCGGGTCCGGCCGGGCGTCTGGGGTGTGGCGCCCCACCAAGCAGGGCCGAAAACACACACTCCGGAGGGGAGCGCTGCAGTGTGTGCCTGTGTTTGGAAATGTTTTTTCTTGGGATTCTCCGGATTCCATTTGTTTTCTCGAACTGGGCGAACTCCCCTGGCATGGGGAAGGTGTTAAGTCTTTGGAAGCTTCCCCGGTTCCTTTCGAGACGCCAATCCCCGTTTTGGCGACCACGGCACGAGACCCCAGGGTGGTCACCTACCACTTGGGGCGTCTCCATCGCTATTGAATAGGTTGAAGTCCATTGCTATTATGGCCCTTGGACGGTGGTTTCAGTTACCCAAACTCGGTGACCTTTTTCAAGGAGATGTGCTGGTATTGGTTGATTTTGGGTTGATTGATAGAGGGGATACCCTCAAGATCCCTCAAGTGTACAACGTAAATGGCCAACCCGACCCATCTATTTTTCCGGTTTCTACTGACATCACTGCCCCCACCACCGCCTGAATGGCCCAGGTGAACCAGCCGAACGCGGAGGGCTTGACGCCCCTGGGCGCTGCGACGCAGAACCGACAGGAAGCCACGATGGCGGTGCTGAAGGCTCATGGAGCCCAGTAAAGGACAGCGTAGATCGATACGGCGAGTCGTTGGTTTCCGCACAGGTTCCCCTACTAATTAGCAGTAATTTTTAGCTCTCCGAGCCATCCGAAGATAAAGATTCCCATCTCGACTCCGGTTACACCAAGACAGACTCTTGTGCTTCGTGGGGGTATTCACCCGTCACCTTGTTGAGGTATCAAGCTTCTGGATGCGGATGCTCGTTGCACGTGACTGGTGGAGTCCGGGTGTTCGATTTAGGGGTGTTATGTGAAGCGTTCCGCCTTTGCACTTCCGCCTTTGTTTGGTGCCAGCCCATTTTAAGGATAGAACATGGAGAGCGGATCACATTTTTAATTGTTTCTCACCGCAGTACGCCTTCCAAGACCGACGTTGGTTGACGTGGTGTTGTAGTCTAAAGCCCATGGTAAAACAATGGTCTCTTGCTTGCGATCATTTGCCTCCCTTCCACTATTGTAGTGGGGGTTAACCAGAGACAGTCAATCACTAGAAGGGACCATCATGGTTCGGTAAAGGCTCTTCAAGCCTATATAGGGTCATAGAGTGTCATAGAGGTATCTATCTGGGGCTGGAGCGGATGTACATACGATGACATGGCCGGAATGGCTGGTTTTGCTGGATGGGGGGGAGTTTCCGGAAAAAGATGTTGGAGGGAAACGACATGGACGGTGGTAAGTGAAGGGCGAGTCCATCTTGGATCGGCACTTAGCGGTGGATGTTTAAGGTGAATTACCCTCCAAAACGAACTTGGACCCTGACGTCCTGGCCGCCAGCCAAGCAGTTGTTTTCCTTTACCAAGCAGTTGTTTTCAGGGTCCATGTTAGTCTCCAAGGGGGTCATGTTGACTGTTGATAAAGACATACACCTCATAGCAGGATGGTTCTTCATCTCGCCACGGTTGTGCAACGAAATTGGCAGACAAGCGCTCCCAGTCCTTTCTTTCAAATCAAGTTCAAATCACCCAAACCCAGTGACACACCGAAACTGATGTCCGAAGCTGGGCTTCATGTGTATGTTTAGCTTGTCACCGTCAGACTGCTTGTGTCCGTGAGCCCACTGGGCCACCGACTGGGCGACCAAGGGGGATAGCCTTTTTAAAGCCAGCTTGGCATCGGTGTCCAAAAAGGACTTGGCGAAGTGGATGGACTCTATGTAATTCTTAATTCGGAAGTCTACCTGGACCCTGAACCCTGAAGCGGTGTGGAAACGGGATGACCTTTCGGGGTTCACCACCTCTGGTCGGACCTTAACACCACCAAAGCAAAGGAAGGTACTTCCCTGACTTCGGTGGTGCGAAGGGAAAGCCGAACTGGACTTCGGATGGGAAGTCATGCTGAAAAATCATAGGATGATGACGTCTTTAAAGAAATTCAACCAGGACATGTCGTGTCAACACGTGCTGTCAACAAGTGTTGAATGTTCATCTTATGCATTTCTAGTGTGATCACCTGGATATGGAAGAATGGCTAGCGGCTAAGGGTCCGGTCTCTGACCATCTTGGACCCATTGGAATTGCTCTTCTTTGAAATGGTTGGAGGTTGCGATAGTTCTTTCCAACTTTTGTGCTAAAGGTGTGGCAATTCCATCACCAAATATCTCTGACCAATCCTTGGAAGATCTTCATTCCATATAGTTAACTATAGTTGAGATTTAACCCCAAAAATCAACATCCAACAGGGGACATCAGCCTGCCCAGCTTCAGTCGCCACAACCTTCCCACCTCCCCGTGCTGGGCAGTGCCCAAGAATCGTTCGAATCCAGTCGAATCCCGACCGAAGGCTTCAACGGTGATTGGATCATGAACCCTCCCAGAAGTTGAATTCAACACTAAAAAGGTCCAACTAATACACTCTTCTGACTCGTTTTGAGAAGGTATTGGGATCCCTAGGGGTTGGTGGAAAGAACTGCTGTTGAAGGGAGACATCCTGCGGAATCCTCCAACTTAGTCTAAGTGCTTTTTTCGTTCATCAAAAAATCCGATGGAACCTGGTAGCCCAGTGGCACGGTTGATTTTTAGACCAGCGAAGCTTCTGCGGTCTCCCATCGAATATATCGCTCCCTGCGCACTGAACCTCGAGTGCGCTTGAAAGGGAGAGGAGCCGCGCAGTCGCCTCGCATCGCGACGGGTGGAGATTTGCTGCATGAGCAGTCCCACCCAACGGGACAGCACCACTGACGAGTGGAAAATGGCGAGACCACCACTGTCTGTGCAGCGGTTCGCGTTTCAAAACAATTCGTGGTCGTCGAAAGGTTGATAGGATTTTTATCTATCGCTTCTGTGGCTGTTTGTCAAAAGACTTTGTCCAATCCGCTCTTGCCCATAATTTGTCAAAGTGGCTTTTCTCCTACTCCCCTCTTTCTTCGGGATGAAGGTGAAGTGTTTGTTGAGAGTGTGTGAGTGTCTATGTTTGTATATGTATAGAACCGGGATACCCCACATGTAAGTCACCTAGTGCATATTGGCCTGGGCGATGCGACCTTCAGCGGACCTTCTTTGGGAAGGCCACGGCGCTCCGCCCAGATCCACAAGCGAACCCAGGCGCATGGCGCGCACGCGGTCCCACCGTTGCAGCAGCCCCTACCACCTCAGGGGCAGGCCAGACGTCGTGCGACCTCGGGGGGTGGGGGGGGGTGAGGTGAAAATGGGGTGGTGAGGTTTTGGGGTGGGCTGGGCGGAGAGAATTTACTGCTGGTTCTTCCTCACTCGCGTTCAGATCGTTGATTCTTCGATTCTGTGGTCCTTGCCATACGTCCAGAGCGACGCGACGTCGTGGCAAACAGGACGTGTCGAAACGGACATCAGCAGTTTCCCAAGCTCTTTGGGCTATTACATTCACAGTGAAAAAACATGCCCACAAGCTAGGTTGGAGACTCCACACGCACAAAAGAGGTGCTGAAATCAAGAGGTTTTGGAGGAAATGGGTGAGCACAAAAGGCTTGGTCACCCACGGCAGCGTGTGCTGAAATAACCTCATAAAGCACTGTGCTTCATTCGAATGACCTCAGCTCCAGTAAGATGAGGTCTTTGAAGCTGTGGGGTGTGACTGATTTCAGATGATCCGCAAATGCTCACAACGACTGCCAGCTCTATGGGCAGCACATGTATGGCCAGGGGTGGGGTCGCCAAGAGCTGGGCGAGCTGGGCAAGTCTGGTCGAGTCGAGCTTACACCAAGCACCGCTCATCTCCGATCTGAAGGGATGGCTTATGTCCCGAATCTAAAGTGGTTTGTGGCTTTGTGATCAAGCTCACCAACCTGAACTACTAATTAGAGAGACCAAGGAACGGAAAAATTCGGGAACCTCTGAAAAGGTCGAGCCATAGTACGAAGAAAAGCGGTGGGGAGACCAGTAGACCCCCCAAAAAAACACTGGAAGTCGACCTCGCGTCTCTTCGGACCAGAGGTGTTGGGACTCACCCCAAGGCTGGCCTGGCTCCCTTGACCGATTTTGGGGGAGTTCGTCTTTAAAGGAATCCACGGGGCAGGAAGAATTGCAAAGGGCATCGCTATTAGTAACCAGGGCATTACTACTAGTAGCATTCGTGCTACTAGTAGCTCCTGGCATTAATACTAGGAACAAGAAGCAATCAGGAACATGAACTGCATGGTGGTTGAATCGGTTGAATCAGCTCTCTCTTTTTGTAGGTCCGAGAGGTTCACCTGCCAAACGTGGTTGACCTCTCTGTTCCTTTTCGGTCAACCGGTCTCCCAGTGCTGAGCCATATACCAGGACCCTCCTGGCCAAGCTGTTTGGAGACCCCACAGGTGCCACAGGTGCACCTCTATGGGACGAGTCGGGTGGTATATAGATGGTCCTAAAGGATGAAACAAAAGACCCGCAGCTAAGATGATTGCATCATCTGCGCATCATCTGGTTTTCCTAACCGCCACGATGTGAAGACGGAGAGACTGGTAGGTCACCAACGAGGCGGTAGGATTGTAGGGTTTGATGTTTTAGATTGTATAAGGCTTGCCATGGACGTTTGTTGAGACGAATAAGGACTGATGAGTCTGAGAGGTGTAAGTCTCATTCATTTTCTACCAGATCCCCGCTTAGAAGTTTGCTGAGTTCTCACTCTCCAAATTGAGCTAAGACATGATGTCTTTGAACGCCCTAAGGCAACAGCTCTATGGCAGTCAGGCCGGATCCGCTGGTTTCTTCTTGCTGATGACTACAATCGGCTCCTGAGATTCGTTTCGGATGAAGTCCTACGAAGAAGACACCCTATATCACATAGAGCTCTGTGCACGTAGCTGCGAAACGAAGGAATGACGGAATGACGGGACTCTCCTGGCACGTACCCACCCCAGAGCCTGTGAGGCTATCCAACGGAGATTAAGTAGTGGGCTGGATACTCCAGACAGGACACTCCTTGGGTGGGTCCTGGAAGACAGAGGTGATGCCCGAAACACCTTGAAAGTGGACCAAGACCTCTTGCAGCTCAATCCATTTCGGAATCGATGGCCCCGACACACCGCCGTGATGCGGTGCGATACACGTTTTTTGGGCCTGTCGTGCATGTGGGGCCTTTGGGGGCGGTTTTGGTTCCCTTTCCAGTCCGACGCGTTTCAATGAGCAAGATCAGCCTTGCGGAGATCCTAACAGCATGTCTTTTGTTATTGTTTCATGGGGATGTGCCAACTGGACATGAGGAGTTTACTGTTCTTTCTCCAGCTGTGGAAGAATAGAAGCACGGGAGGATGGAGACCAATGGTATGCAGTATATAGCCAAGGACGTGCTGGTCAAATTCAAGTGTTCTTTTCAATGGGATCCAAGTGGATGTTAGTTTGAGGAGACACACCTTCAAGTGGACCCTTACTTGAGACCCAAGCCCCAGCCAAGTGGAAGGTGTATACACATTGAGGAAACCAACATGACCTCAATCAATTCAGTGACCTGAAGTATACAACGCGTTCCTGAAGAGAACGTGGGGTCCTTCTCACTTGAGCGACCACGACGTGGCATGACTTCAGGTCGCGTACTGTAGAATATGAGTCTGTCCCAGCTCCACCAGTTTTCCGTCGGCACAAGATGATTGCTATTTTACAGAGATGGTTGCAGGCCTGCAATCAGGCCCCATCATCCTCCACGGAAACCTGGTAATACCCAATGTATAGAATGTTGGACTTTTTTCAAGCCCTCCCCGACCACTTGTGACACGGACGGTGCAACCCTCTGAACAGGCTACGTCGTTCATCGAAGCTCCGCTGCGTCGTGCGAGTGGCGGCCGCGTCGATCGCCACTCGCCCGTCGTCGCAGGCATCCATCTATGGAGGTCGGGCGAAAGGGACACGGCGAAGCGACGGGACACACGGTCATTCCATGAGATCCCAGGATGATTCCATGAGAACTTGTTTGGTATGCCTTTCCCTTTTTTTGGGGGGGGTGGTTTCAGGGGTCAATGTAGGCAGATCTTGCATACATGGAGTGTTCGGGTAGTAGCTCACACCTTGATCTTTTTTGGTTGACATGTGAGTCCTTTCCCCCACTCGTCCTTTTCAGGAAGCCAGACCATCTGCCTGCAAGTGTGAGACCCCCCAAACCATTGTAGGTTGGTTGGTCTGGCTGGTTCTGTTCATGTTCCGAAAACCAACGGAGTGCGTGCCAATCCAAAACGCAATGTTCCTGCTCATCTTTGCTAATAATAATTGCATACAGGTAGACCGAGACAGACCTTTCATTCATTGCTACGGAGTACTTGGATGAAGCATAGTCTCAGCTACGACCACAGTCTTGTACATCCTGAATCCTAAATCTTCAACAAGTGTGGTTTGGCTAGGGATTTGAGAATTCCTTCCCCAAAAACGCTTCTTCCCTGTTGTTCATGGCCTAAATGTCATCACTTCCACGATTTTTCAAGCTTGTTTGGCCCAGAGAAACTCCTATAGGTCCGACCGGCAGAATGCCACACCCACGGTCACCCTGAAGCCACACCCGAACCGGCCGGTTCGCGGTTCGCGGTTCGGGTCGTCTGTTCGGTGGAGGCGGACTGCCAGTGCCGGGGCGCGATCCCGCCCGGGGCGCCCGGGGCACCGGACGCGACGCGGTGACGGACGGTGACGGGATGGAGCAAGTGATGCTGGAGATGGGATCGCAAGACTTGGAGAAGTTCGGAAGGTTCGGATTTGTTCCCGAAAATCGGCTGGAGATGGGATCCCAAAGATCCTGAGAAGGGTGTTACACCCCAACTAGCCCTTTCTCAGGTAGGCCAGGAGCCCTAGGGTTTGTGACCTGTTTGTTCTTCGGACAGATGAAATATGATCGGGCTGGGTGTTTTTTTTTTTTTTAATGCTAATGGTTTTTTTCTTATGCTCACAGCGGGGTTGGTGTGCTTTTGGGGTATGGGTTTCTTTTTTTATGCTTATAGTGCTTTTTTTTATGCTAATGGTTTTTCTGTTATGCTTGCAGTTCTTTCTTTTATGCTCCTGGTTTCTTTTTTTATGCTAATGGTTTCTTTTTTTATGCTAAGGGTTCTTTTCTTATGCGGCACTGTGGGAAGAGGTCACGTTGGGGGGTCCTAGTGCAGAATGTAATTGTCAGGAGGGTTTAGTGCAGAATGTAATTGTCGGGAGGCTTTAGTACAGAATTTAATTGTCGGGAGGTTTTAGTACAGAAAGTAATTTTCGAGAGGTTTTAGTACAGCAAGTAATTGTCGGGAGGCTTGAGTACAGAAAGTAATTGTCGGGAGGTTTTAGTACAAAACGTAATTGTCGGGGGGCTCTAGTACCGAATGTAATCGTCGGGGAGTTTTAGTACAGAATTTAATTGTCGGGGGCCTTTAGTATCGAATGTAAGCATCGGGGTGTTACCCAATGTGATCGTCGGGGAGTTCTAGTAATCATTTGGCTCCAGACTTTTTCTGCCCAATATTGCACTGCGTGGCATAAAAAAAAGGTATGCTCGTCGTTGCTCGCGCACTTACATCGTGAGAGGGTCTTCCAAGTTGACTCACCCTTTGGTGAGCCACCCGAGGGTAAAATTTA